AGGAGATGGCAACATCTCTTCATATATATATATATATCTTCAGATATATAACCCATCCCTTGGCATACAAGACTGAACTGAATGTACACAGCTGTGTGAGATTGGCCCTACTTGCCTCTGCTGATCCTTTTCCTCTCAGCTGGATCACCCAGCACACACACCAACCCTGCTTTGCTGTCCTCTCACAGCCACAGGTCACTGGGCCTCACTCTGCAACTACATGAAAGGAGGCTGTAGTGAGGTATTGGTCTCTTCTCCCAAGTAACAAGTGACAGGACAAGAGGAAGTGGCCTCAATTTGTGCCAGGGGACATTTAAAATGAATACTAGGAAAAAAATTCTTCACTGAAAGGGTTGTCAAGCATGGGAACAGACTGCCCAGGGAAGTACTGGAGTTACCATCCCTGCAGGTATTTAAAAGCCATGTAGATGTGGCACTCATGGGCATGGTTTGGTAATGACCTGGCAGTGTTAGGTTAATGGCTGGACATGACGTTAGAGGTCTTTTCCAACCTAAATGATTCTATGATTCTATGAAGTCAAGGCCTCTGCTGCTTGAACACAGTGGCACAGCAGCCTGTTATTATTTTGCTTCCTTTGTATACACCAAAATGACAACACAGAGCCTCAGGATAGGAAATCTCCTCCCATTTTCCAGCTTCAGCTGGCTCCTGGCCAATTCAGACTGGTTTGTCTGTGACTGCATTGTCTTCTGGCTCTCCTCCTTCTCTGGATGTGAGCTTCTCCCACTGCTTCGTTTGTCCCAGTACAGATTTAGACAGGAATTATACCCCCTCTCCTTTCTTAGGCTGAACAGTTTCTGGTTGTTCTGCTCAAATGCCAGCAGCTCTGCATCTCTGCTAATTCCCCCTGGTCACACCTGATGAGAACTGGAAATGAGGTCAAGGCAAGGCCTCTCCACAGCCTTAGTCACCTTATTCATATTTACTGGCCACTACTGGAATTATTTATCTGGATGCATGCAGAATTGAGTTGTAGCTTTCTCACAGTCATGTTACACTGTAGTGTAACACGTGGCTTGTAGTTCTTCATGAAAGCCTTCTCACTGCCCTTCTGGTGTACCTATAGTCCAGTTACATACTTTCCAATGCAAAGTGTTTAAACCTGAAACAGCTCCAACTAGAAGCTGAAGAAAGAGGCCCCAAAATAACAGAGGTATGAAATCTCTGCCAACATTACTTTAGAACAGGAGAAGACTGCACAAGACAAATCTACCATGCTCTATCTTAAAGACTCAAATCCACAAGTAAGAGGATTACAATAAAAAAATATCACTATCTAATGAAGTAATTTTTTTGTGACCGGCAAGCAATCATATGACAGACCCTTACATGGAGATAGTAGCAATGCAATTAAGTTGTTTTCCATCAGAATGGCATTTCCAGTGATCTACTAAGTCAACTCTAAACCCACAAAAACCAATTGCAATTTACTCCAGCACCTTGCTGTCACATAGAGATAGATGTATTTAAACAGTGTGCTGAAATTAAAACCTGATTAAAATACTGCTGTTATCACTGGTCATCTTCCAAAAAATCAAAATTATGTTTATGCTGTCTAGTAGTCAAGAGAAGTAAAACAACACACTGGTACTCAGAAAGTGAGCAGTACCAGAGAAAAGCAAGCGTGTGCATGTGTGCCACTAAGACACCAATGGGAAACCCACCTACACTATCCACTACACTTGACCATAAGGCCAAGAACCCAGGTCCTAAAAGCAGTCAAAGTAGATGGAGCAAAAGGTATGTGAAAAAAAAACCCTGTGAAAGGGAGTGTGGAAGCCCCTTACTCATGCTACTTCTTTTTTGCTGCAATTCTGTTCCTAATCCCTTTCCTCTCATGCATTTCTAAATCTGTAATCTTAACCACAGATATATACCCCAATGGGTTTTACAGCAAAGAGCTAAACTGAAAAGATAATGAAAGGAAAGCAGATGCTGGCAGACAAAAGCAGCATACAAATAAAAGTCCACTTTGGAATCCTGTTCTCTCCAGAGTATTTGCTGAGCCTTCTTACTTTTCACAAGTACAAATGCTACAGCATTGCAAAGAACAGTCAGAAATCAAGAGTAAGTGCAGAGTCAACTCTTACTCTACAAAATGCTTAAAGTAGAATGAGACCAAAATAAGTGGATCCAAAGCAAAGATTTGTGATGGCAGACTTCAAATTTTACTTGCTGTAAAACCTTACTGGGAGCTATTCAAAACATAAGAACAAAGATTCCAAATACAGAACAGAACAGTGATAATTTTTCCATAAGTGAACTCCTTCCCAACTCATGAAACATCTAAGAAGTAGGTCATACAATCTTGATGTTCCACAGTCACCACAGGTCATTCATGATTGATAACAACTCCCTCAATTTTCTCTTTGTGTTCCTCAAAATTATGGAGGACATTTTGTATTTCCTACAGCCTCTTCTGCCCTTCTGACAAGAGAAAAATGACATGTCATACTGTGCTATCATCCAAAGACCTCTCTGGGAAAGAAAACTGAATAAAACAGAAAGGCTGTAGACAAGAGGAAAAAAAAAAAGATGTATAAGACAAAATGTTCCTATGTCTTAAATCACAGCAGGTGCATAACACTTAGTTGTTGAGAGAGCCAGTTGTCCCACAAGAGCTTTTTCTTCTCTCTTTGTATGCTTCCAGCATAGCTATACATTTTTCCTAGATGAGATCCATTTACTTAGGCACAATTGGGAGTCTTGGACAGGTTCTCAGTATTAAATCACTTTCCAGAGCATGTACAGATGCCCTATGATCCATGTTTACTCTCCCATTTGCAGATTTGCATTTGTCCCTCAAACTGCTCAGAAATTATTTGTACACTTTCAGGGGAGGCAGGGTGTTTCTGGCAGTTGTAGTGGGTACTGTATTTCCATGGGTGCAACCTTCAGGAATATTTTTCCTTACTTCCTTCCCACCCTCTTTTTTTAATCCTTTCTGTGATTTCAAACAGACACCCATAGCAGATGCTTCATGCTTTCAGCCTGCCATGTGCATGCTGTTCCATCAGCATCTGCTCCTCTGGCATGCACACATATCATATGGGGGAGCACACTTGCTCCTCTGACACCTCCCATAAAGCTTCAGCAACCTTCCTTCAGCATGGAGTCCAGCATTTCTGGGGGCTTTGAAACAACTGCCCATGGCTTTTGTCAGCATTGCTCTCCCAGACATCATGGCCTTGCCTGGGTTTTCCAGTCTGGAATTTCTATCAGCATGGCTCTTTTTTATGACTCAAAGCAAACACACATCTTTCTTTCCCTTTCACTCCTGCCTGGATTAAAAGGGAAAATGATGATTTTTACAGCAGGAAGCCCCAAACAGCACCATTTTGTGCTTTCACCAGCCAGCTGCCACCAGCTGCATGGCTGCAGGCTTAATGCTGCTCACTTCATAAGGGAAACGTCTCCTGCTGCACAGCAAAACAGGCTGCAGGCCTATCAAAGCTGCTCTGGTGGCAATGAGACGAGGCACCTCAGGCTACTGCTACACACAGGAAACCAAGCTGACAGCTCAGCTGCACACAATTGCATTAAAAGCACAAAAATAGAGATTTATACAAGGCCGCACCAAAGCTGGCTGCTGCATACATTAGCGGGAGCCCAACTCACTCCTCCTCCAGGAGGGAGGCACTCCACTCACCAGCCCAAGCACCGCAGGCTTTGCTGCTAATAGGATCATTTCCTTCTAAAACCTTCCCCAAGGCAGCAGCCCAGGAACATGCACAGCTAACTTGGGCTGAAAGGGAATTTTCCACCACCCACAAGCCTGTTTCTACCTTCCATAATCTTCTCAAGCACAGGCCACAAAGAATCCACATCAGCCTCTGCAGATGACACATAATGAGTAATTGGATGCGCTAAATATTCAGGAACCAACTCCCATGTCAAGTTTCCTTTACACCTTCATGTTTAAAATAAGCACACATTGAATTTACACCTCCTTCCAGATCCCTTCACGTTTCCGTAATAATAGGATGGGGGCTTAGCGTAAATCACTACAGGGCCATTAAGCAGAAAGATCATTCACACTCTCTCTGTCAATTAAGAGATATCAGATACAGGCAGATATACTGACAAGACATCCCTTTTCATCTGAGAAAATAAGCTTAAGCAATGCCTATACAATCACTCTTTTTCTCAGCAAACTTTCTGGAGCACAGATAAGATCAAAGGCGGCTTTCCCAACCAACAAAGTTATTAAGACCTCAAGGAAAAAGTAATGTTGCAGAAAATCCAGAGCTGTCTGATGGCTTCCTTGATCTGAGGATGGAGACACATGGAGCAGCAGGTAGCCACTACCCCAGTACAAAGAGGGCAGCAGCTGCGCATGAATCAGAAAATAACATTTTTTTGTGAGAAATATGTATTTTCAGGACATTTTTGAATTACTACTTGTTCGGCAGAACAGTTGCCAAACTTAAAAAATGCATATATATTTTTAACTACAGTAAAACATCTTCATGGCATGCAACCAGAAAGCACACCAGTGGTAATGCACTGTATGCTGAAGTTAAAAGAAAAGGGGACAGGCATTGCCATAAAGTTGTTTCACAAGCAAGTGAACTCTGGATCCATTTTCACAAGGAAGACAAACCCCCACCACCAAGATACCAAAAAAACCCCCAATCAGTTCAATTTTATTAGGAATGTCACGATAACGGACCTATAGAATACATTTTAATTTAATGTTTGTCTTTGTTAGCTGATATAAGAGGCCAAACTGAGCACTAGCGAAGGGAGTCCATTGGAAACAAGGAGCTCCATATGAGCAGACACAGTAAAACTGTTTCCTGTCTATATTTTACCTAGAGCTAACATATAGCATGGATTCTGTAATGTACAAAGAATTTTCAAGAATATTGCTGCAACTCACTATCCTTCGACTTTCCTCTGTAAAATGTGGTTAAAGTGGGCCAAAGGATTCAAAAGCTGCTCAGGAGAGACAACAAAGAGACAGAGATGCACACAGTCAGGATATGAATTTGTTTTCTGAAGCAGTAACAATAAAGAAAGAGAAGGAACGATCTGGGCCAGCAGTTCAAACAATATGACATAAATATCATCTGAAAGTGGTATGCGAATGGCATCTGAACAGGCAAAAGACATTCATGCATGCCACTGAGACTACATTTGTAAAAGCCTTGTGTAGAGTACAGTCAAGCTAAAACAAACCACAAGGACCTAATTCATCATAACTATCATGGCAAGAGCCTCTTCCCCAGCACAGTGTGCTCTGACCACCCTACCTGCACTGGAACGACTTAAGGAGAACTCTACCATACCTTGGCAAGGACCTTCGTGGTATCCAAGTTTCCTTAAGAGTCACACCAAAATTGTGCCATTGTTACTTCAGCCATGTAAGGAAAAAAGCTCCACACTTCTAGAAAGAAAACATAGCTCAGGAAGGTATCATTGAAAGGAGAAACTCTGCATTTGAATTGAAGAAATGATAACAAGCATTACAGCCTGAAAAGTGTGGGAACACAGAGAAGGGAGAGCAGTACACACCTCTGCCTAGGTCAGTCCATAGCTCTCTTCATAGATGTCCAAGAGAACTCAATGCAGAGAAAGCTATTAGTAAAAAATATTATTACTTAATATTTATGTAGCACTTTCCACCTGGCAATTTTTAAGCAATCAAGACATTAAGTAATTTACCAAGAAAAATAAAAACATACACTGGCATTCTGTGTGATCAGTAGCTTACGCTTTCAAAGGAAAACAAGTCTATTTTATCTTTATTAGAATTAAACTTTAAGGCCTGAATTTACTATACATTATTTACTGTTACATTTTAAATTGGCAGCGAGGTAATCAGTCAGGTCATTAGCTCCAAAATGCGTTTAACAGTGCATTTTGCTAAGTTCCCATATTAAGTAAACCACAGAAAAACCTGGAGATGTTAACATCTTTTTTATCATTGGTTAAGAACTAACAAGTTAGGGCACTGTAACTGTTGCTTTTTTTTTTTTTAAATCCTCCTGAAAAATATCCTACCTGCCAGCTTTGCCACCTTGGACTATTCTCATGCTGATGATGCCCAGTTAATGATTCTCCCTTATTTCAATTTGTCTTTTGAGATCTTTCTTAAATCATTTCCAGCTCCAACAGGGCTTCCTTTTTGTGGGTAGCAGCACATGTCAGCTTGGCACAGCTTTCCTTTTACACAAGTGCAAGATGTTTCCTTGTGTTAATACAGGAAACTATCAAAGACATATTGTGGCTGGATATAAAAGCAGATTCCATAGCACTGGCCATCATTAGCATTTCTAGCCACCAACATTATGCTGATCTGCAAATAACTCTATTGGGACTATGATTTCAAAAATACAGTTCACATGCTCACTGTGACAGAGCAATTCCTGTATTTCAGATACGTGGTCTCTCTCTCTCTCATGGCCTGCAGGATGAGGGGGCAGCACACCAATTTTTCTTGCTGGTGAATTCAAACAAGAATCTGCTCTTTATGAGATACAATGCAAGCACAGGCAAATATGATGGCTGCATCCACTCAGTTCTGGTTTTTTTTTTAACACATAAAATGGGTACACAAATTTAAGTGACATTCAAACTCCTGGCAAGTACCCAACCCACCCCACTGATAACACAGATGTTGGGCATTTTTGAGTTGGGACATCATGGCAGTGAATCACTGAAAAAAAATCAGTGATTCATCCTGTCTTCTTTTCTCCCTTAGCAGTAGGGAGATGGATTTTCAGAGAGGGATAAACTTTCTATTCTCTGAGGTACTGAACATTGAGCAAGGTTGGATATAAGAAAAAGGTAGATGGTTAATCCAAGTAACTCTAGCAGCTCTTTAATATGACATCTTGCTTTTGTGACTTCTTTATTAATCTTAACTGTTAGAAATAAAAACAAGTTATATTGTGTGAGAGCATCTCGTGATTACTATATGTGCTCCCACAAATACAGTGGATACTTTATTTTTCCTTGAAGTTTCCCTTGCAGTTTCATATTTCCTCTATGTTCCATTTGCATCTGGTGTTCTCAGATAACTTACACAGCCAGGAATTAAATAATATCTCGAAAATCAAAAGCAGAATTATGAGGCTCAATAGATCAGTAGTAAGTACAGTAAACACTTGACAAAAATACGGAGACAACTGGGGTCTGGAACCAGTCCCATTTTTAACACCTCTAAAGCGTCTGTCTAATTAGGTTCATTTTTTGACAAACAAGAGTGGGATTAGATCAGCATTACAGTTATAGCAGCCACATGACAGAACCTAGACAATTTTGTCAATTTTTAGTCCTATACTGGCCTCTCATTTACAAAGCTCATGGGAGACTACACTACTTCCTCATGAGTATGAATCATCACGTTTACCCACATGTCAGAGTTAACCTACAGCGAAACTGCCATCTTTATAAATACTTCACAACATTTCAAAAATGGCATTCTGTCTGGGAGAAGGAGAGCAAGATCACAGCCCATTTATTCTCCCTCTTTTTTTCCTGGAGGGGAGAAGGGCAAAGTGAAATTCTGTATTTCAGATAACAGAGACACCATTCCTAACATATTGCAATGTCATATACTGAAAACATGGTCGGTAAACAACAACTGTAAGCCCCTACTTGTTCATATGACAAATATTTCACTGAAAAATGGAGCAACATCAAAAAGCTAGAAAACAAATGGTCATTCTCTGTCAACATTGCAGCTGGTATTCACGCAGGTTTAGATGAATCCACGAGACACTTCTTCAGAGCTTATCCCAGGTGTCAGTTCAGCAAGAAATCTGGCTCCCGATAACCAAAGAGTTTAAAATCACCTTCAAATCGTGCATAGAGGCGTCTTATGTCTCTCTTGCTAATTCCTGAAAAATACCGCTCTACTTTTGTTCTGTTGTACACTGTTATGCCTGGTGGAATGGTGGGGTATGATACCAGGTGGTCTATGCCGGCTGCTTTCAAGATATACGGAGCATCGTCCTCCAGGGTTTCATGGTGTCCAATCACACTGTATGTGATTTCACAGGGAGCGCAAAGTTCCACATATGTTACCCAATGAATGATGTGGTCACCAAACTGAACATCCAGCCATCGGTGATTGGGATCACCGAGGTAGCGCACAAAATCCTCAAACTGCAGCCCTTTGGTCTCTGTGCGGTTCTTTCTGTATTTACGAATGATGCCGGGAGCAATTTCATGCCGGTACCAAGGTTCAAACCGAGGATTGTGCACAAACTTGTCTTTAAATGCAGAAATAAGTCTTTCAAATGGATCTCTAACAATAAAAAACTTGAAGTATAAATTCAGTCTAAACAGAGGAAGAAAAAAAAGAAATTGAATAATTAAGGAACGTGTTTAGCTAAGTGTTTAAATTCTTTTTAGCATATACTTACAAAACATACATAAACTGACCACACACATGGCAATGTGAATACTACACTACGGGGATAGTCTAGCAATATTATAATCAATAGGACTAGAAATACAATTTGTGTCTTCTTACTAGCAGTTTTTGTATACGGTACAAAGAGGAAATAGTTTATCCTAGTTTTCACATTTTATTCAACTGGAGGAGATTAGCTTATCTCAGAACATAAACAGGAGATAAAAGATGCTGAAAGCTCCAAATCAAAGGTATTTTTAATGCCATGTGATTAAGCTCAAAAAGCAAAATACATAAAGACAAGGGGAAAAGTCCCTTGGTGCAGCTAAATGCATACAGAGGGCTGCATTTTTCACTGGCAGGCAATAAGACAAACTGCCGCTTAAGTAAAAAACAAAATCTACCATTTTATTTACTGTTTTGTCATGCTTTCAGTAATGGCTGACAACATCACTGAAACATGAGACTACAGTTTTCAACAGAATTTCACATTATTATTGTGATACTGTAATATGTAATATTCTGTAGTCAGAGATTAAAATAAATTGAAAACAAAGTTTACCTCAGTAAATAGCCAAAAAAAGAGATTGAGAGCCCAGTCCTCACTGAAATAAGTGGATGGACTCTTTTCAGCCTCTACAAGCACTTAAATCAGTCTTCAGGTTCTCCTGACTTACTCCTAGCCAGGCAGGGCTAGAGGTTAGCAAACTAGATCAACAAATCCACACCATCCCCTCTCTGTACACTTAAATTCTCTGGTAAATTCAGAATTCCCAACCAATCCCATGTTATGCATCTCCACCACAGCTTCTGTCATAAGCTGAATGCAACAACCCAAATCATAATGGCATTCAACTTTAAATATCCTAACTATGGCTCATCCTGCAGATGAACAGTTACTTTTATGCAGGGCTATTCACAGGGAGGGAGAACACATCCACGTTCTCAAGAACTTAGTGCCAATATCTTCTCTTGCACAGCATCAACACAAGCGACTCCAATTCCACAGGTACTGCTGTGATAAATGTATTTGTGCCACTGCATGCAACAAACCTTGCACTGAGCTCTACTGGCAGCTGACACATGTATAAGGGGCTGACTCTTCAAAATGGCTTAATACACACAAACCCCCTGTAAGCACATATTTACAAGTGTCCACTGCCATCTTATGTCCTGTTCTCTCCATGTTGCCACCCCTCACAGGGATTATATATGGCATAGGCTCTAGTAGAGATGAGAGCAGAGAGAGTTAAAAATCTAGCCAAAGTAATGTAGAAGGTTCTACTGCAGAGTATTTTTTCGGCTCTGAAAATAACTAGAAGCATCCAAACAGGAAGACAAAGTGGTTCAGCTGAACAGACAATACTCTCAGGCTAAGAAGCACTAACATTTCAAATCTAATTAGTTCAATCCTGGTAAGTCTGCCTGCAGTGACAATCTTGCCTGTAAGCAGTAATCATCCAAGGCATCATCCATCCTTATCATCCAAGGCATCAGGATGGACCTTCCAACTAAACCTTCCCTTCTGAAAGCCAACTATCTAAAAATTACGTATGCATTGAACTATGGAAACCCTATATGCAGAGGGAGTTGGTTGGCTCACCTATCTGTATCACAAATTACACTGGTGTTCTCTTTGAAAGCCAGAAGAAAAGTAGACACAGCAACATCTGTGAGGATAATGGAATAGTGCTATAATACAACTGGTGGAGCAGAAATCCTGCTGTCCTCAATTCCAGATGGAGACTTCAGCTGTACCCCTGACTGCTCGTACCACCACTCTGCCCACACCCATTGGAAGCCACCACTTACCGTTTTTTAATTTCAGAGTCACTGAAAGAGGACAAACGTGGAAGGCCATTCTTCTCATGATCATGTACAATATTTTCTGGGATCTCTTCTATGGAAGAAAATGCCCCTAGACAAACCAAATCAGAGAGCAAGTTATTCTTTCAAGGGAAGAAACAGTGAGTAAAAGCAAGCGTGTGTGCCTTTGGCTGACACATTTATGTCTTTCTCTTTTCTGTATTCTTACCATTTACAGTTACTATGCATAAAGCTGTTAAATTATGAGAGATTCTGACTGCAAAGCTAGAACCTGTTAAAATTCTTTAGGGTATGTGACATCAAGATCCAAGACCACATCTGCATTTCCCCATCCTGAACCTCCAAATAACTACTTATGTATTTGGATGTAAATTACTCCCCCTCAAGTATCAGTCCTGCCGGCTGAAACCACCCAAAGAAGAGAAAGTTGGGTCAACTGCAGCAGTAGCCTTCACCAGCAGATACTGGTACGCTGGCAGCTTAAGGCAAAAGAGACAAGTGTTTATATAGAAACAATTTTCTATCATTATCTGACATGACTGAACTAGGAAGCTCAAGGTGAAAAGTTCCCTGCTGTTAAGACATGAGTTATCCTCCACTCGGTGTAGCCAATACATCCCTGCCTGTCCTGAGGCATTCTTCGCATGTTATCTCCGACATGCTGATAAGAGTAGGTACTTCTAATGCACTCACATGATTCCATATTTAGTACTTTCTTTGTGTGTGGCTTTCATAGGTATTATGACATATGCATGCCCATAGATATAGGCATATTTCTGCTCAATTTTTACCTCCTATCCATATATCAAAGATGAAACTAATATTAAAGTTTTTAAACACATACTCCTTGCTACAAAGGTCTTGCTGAGGGACACAGTTCATTTGCCAATTTGTGACTGTTTCCTTCTCTCTGGGTGCACAAACTAGTTCACATAAGGTACAGAAAACAAAAACTCAAGTGCAGAGCTGGCTGTTTGCAGGGCGCTTCTAACAAGAAAGCTGGGTTTACAATGTTCAGGTTTTGCCTAGATCTTGGAAAATTATGCCACCTGCAAAACAACAGGAGGACATCAACTGATGCAAATATCTGTAGCAAATTCACTGCCCTGGTCCACAGACAGGCAAGATGGTCTCATGTCAAACAAGGGTGTGTTAAATATGATCATGTTAAGTTTACATATACAGATAGTGGTACAGCACAAAACCCTGAGGAAATGTGTTATTTTTATTGGCATACCAGGCTACTAGAAGAGGATGGTAGGCTACATGTAGACAGGCAGTGTTCACCTTGTAGATAATTTTTCAAACACACTAGTCCCTTTACTCCTTTTTTTACAGTCTTTTATAACATACCTTTGTTGACCAAACTGTTGCCTTGAGCACCTCAGAATCTTCATAATTCTTACAATGGTTCAGTGATAGAACATAGACAAGATTTCAGCTGTACAGACTAACGGCAGCTGCCAAGTTTTAAGTAGCTTTCCTCATGGCTAAAAAACTCTAATTAAAGTCAGTGGCCTTTAGTAGAAATTTCTTATTATTGTTAATTAGGAATTAATTACACCTTGTAATACTTTCAAATTTTATAAATTAGTGCCACCCCTTCAAAGATAAGAAACCTGCCTATCACATGCATGTGGGTACTCTATCATGACTCAAATCCCTTTTGAGCCAAGTAATAACAATATTTATTTTCACAGAAAGAAAGGTCTATCTTATTTTAAAGGGATGTTTTGAAAGGACTAGAAGCAACTGAGATGAATGAAAGGCTGAAATTGAGTATCAGTGTACAGAAATGCAGAAAGAATCCATTTTTATGTTGCTCCAATTAGACCAATTCTGTTCTCTCTTCCTCCTCCTCAAAGAAACCCACACACCCACAGCAGAGTAGATACCATTTAAAACAATCAAGACTTTTTTCCACTGAGTGTTGCCCACTTTTGGCGTCTGACAAAACAGGATCTTGTGCTTGTCACACACAAATATTCGGTCCAAGACGAATTTGGAAACTGCAGTGTGAGAAAGATCTCTCAATGCAGTGTCTCTGCAGATGTTCCTGAGAAGCTCAAGTCTTTCCATATGAACCAGGGGCTGGCGGATCAGATTTCCAGAAAAAGCTTTTCCAGTTGGCTTTATGAAATGCAGAGGGGAAAGAAAAAACAAAAGCGAAAGAATTTAGTTTTCAGATCAAATTCTAAAAAGCCCCAAGTAGCGCACCCTAATGACCCCCAGATTCACAATTAAAACAGTGCTATATATTAACTAAAGGAGTAGCCCACAGTTCTTCCTGTCCTTCCTGTGCTGCTGCTGTTGGTTCTGTACTTGTTGGTTCATATCTGAACTCATTAGGTAGTAGGATACAGTAGTAAGAGCTTTTCCATACAATAATTTAAGTCTGCTGCAGAGCAGGAGGGTCTTATCTGTGTGCATAAAACATGCCTTGACCAAATACTGGAACTCCAACAAAGCTTCAACAGCCCCAAGGAAAGCTTCTGAGGAGTTGGGGACAGGAATTTCAACATAAATTATGCTTTAAACTCTGAGGAGTTGGGGCTGACCCATGGTGTGATTCTTGGGGATGTCCTGTGCAGGGCTAAGAGTTGGACTCGGTGAACCTTGTGGGTCCCTTCCAACTCAAATATTCTGTGATTCTGTGACTCATGTGTCTGGAAAAGAATTTAGGATAAAAGTTCTGTGTTGTTTTCTAGCACCTGTAGGCATTCAGTGTTTCCATTTATCCAAGTTGAAAGAAAATTAAGTGGACAATGAGCATCAGTGCTTACTGTGGCAAATAAAATAAGTAGGCAGGATACCTCTCCCCAAAGATGAATGAACTCTTTCATATGTCTCATTTTTCTGAGACTAAGACAGGAACCACAACCACCTCTTGCTGCACAATTAATGGGGAGAGAGGAAAAAGAAGATTCTCTGATTAAGAGGTGATGGGAAATTTTAAATTTCTACTGACAAATTTTCACCCTTCCACTAACTGATTTACATAGTTGGCAATCCCCAATAGCAATACAGACTAGAGGATGAACTGATTGAGGGCAACCTTGTTGAGAAGGACTTGGGGATACTGATGAACGAAAAATTGGATACGTGCTGGCACTGCATACTTGCAACCTGGAAAGGCGAATGCATCCCAAACCACATAAAAAAGCAGTGTGGCCATCAGGTCAAAGGAGATGATTCTCCCCCTCTGCTCTACTCTACTGCCACCTGGAGTACTGCATCCAGCCCTGGGGCCCCAACACAGGAAAGACATACACCTGTTAGAAAAGGCCCAGAGGAAGGCCATGAAGATGGTCAGAGGGACAGAGCACCTCTCCTATGAAGACAGGCTGTGAGAACTGGGGTTGTTCAGCCTGGAGAAAAGAAGGCTCCAGGGAAACCTCACTGCAGCCTTTCAATGCTTACAAAGGGTTTATAAGAAAGATAAAGAGATACTTTTTTCCAGACCTTTAGTGACAGGACAAGGGATAATGGTTTACAACTAAAAGAAGATAGGTTTAGATTAGACATTTAGAAATTTTTTCCTACAAGGGGGAAGCATTGGAACAGGTTGCTCAGAGAAGCTGTGGATGCCTCATCTGTGGAAGTGTTCAAGGCCAGGCTGGATGGGGCTTTGAGCAGCCTGGTCTAGTGAAAGGTGTCCCTGCCCATGGCAGAGGTTTTGGGACTATATGGTCTTCAAAGGTCCCTTCCAACCCAAACCATTCTGTGATTCTATAATTTTAGGCAGTGTCCAAGCTATAGATGAAAAAGAAATGATTTTGCTTTTTGTCCCAAAACTCCTTAAGGAAAAAATAATCTCATTCTACTTTTTTTGTTTGTCACTCTTCTCCAAGAATGTAATCTGAACAGTTTGTCAGACTGTTTATCTTTCAAAACAATTCCTTTTGCATGCAACTAGAATTAATGCTGTTATTCTACATTTCATGCTGCCAGGAATTCAAGAGGGAATAGTTTTAGATCCAGGAACCTTATTATCCTCTTCCATACAAGTAAAGGAAGATATTAAAACTGACTACACAGATCTGCCAGCCTTTCACTGAACAAAGTGTTTTTTCCAAACCTAAATTTCATGGGTTTTACGTATGAAAACAAAAAGCGTCACATTTATATAGCTAACCTACCTTCTATGCTGCATCACAAAAATACTTTAAACATAAGATGACTTATGTCATTAAGGTACCAATGCAAAATAAGTTGGATTTTGCCCACTGTGCAACTGGTCTCAAATTTACATTTGCATAAGGGATTTTCAGAGTTTCCTTGTCAATTAGCAAGTACTACTTTATTGCTGAAGGCACAGAACTATGCATCTAAAGGATCAACTTGTATTGATTACTATTGTGTTCACAATCTACTTTGGAAAAATGCTGAAATGGAAAGCACGAAGAGCATAAAACATGAAAAAGAAATAGAGACTGACAAAAAGAAAACAGAGAGTTTTGGCAGAGGACTAAGAGAATAGACAAGATAAAGGCTTGCCCTCAACAACCACAAACCTGATGGTTATGGCAAGGCAGAATACAAGTAATCCAAAACCGGGCCATTATATTAAAAAAAAAAAGACAAAAAAATTAACAAAAATTACTCTCCTGACTTGATAAAGGAGTACTGTAAAAATTTTCTCCTAGAAATGGAAACACGGTAAGTTGAATCATTCAGATGAAACAAAACAGCAGGTTACCGAAACAAACTAGCTTTGTGAAGTTAAAATGAATTCTGTCGGTTCTATCTAAATAGAACAGTCTGAAAATAATTCATGTCTAGCAATTCATTTTAACAACAGGAAGTCCTTACTTAATCTCTTATTTTCACCTACTCTTTAATACATGTAACCCTTATCTCAACAGTATGCACCTGGAATTCTTCAGACCAATGTTTTTCCTCCGGCACATGTACCTCCTCCACTTTTGTCACAGCTGTCAGTATCAATGACTCTTGCCTGACACCGTAGCCTAAAGAAGGAAGACAGATAAGAGCATTACAGAAGGTGAGGGGAAGGCAACTACTTCTGCTTTACCGCTAACACAAATGAACATTACTTTCTGTATTAAGCTTACAAAACGTTAGGATTTGTTTCGACATGGAAAGGTATTGGACAACACACAAGACAGACTATGAATATTTTAAAGGATGCACACTGTAGGAATTTTGGATGCAATTTCAGCTGAGTTTTACCAAACATGCCCATTATCTTTTACTTGGGATCTTTTTCTTGTTTGTTTTTTTTTTTTAAACAAACTGTGCAGAGACATGGAAATCTTGAATTCAAATGTCGCAGTTGACAGACAATTTGGTACAATTATATGGACTTGTGTGTAGCTTTTTATTTTTCAATAAACTTCCCAGAGCATGTCCAAATAAAAAACTTAATCTATAAGGTTTCTCTCTCCCTTATTATTAGTAGATAGGTTTCTTCTGCTGTAAACTCCTAAACTTATCAGAAGAAAAGTGTCATTAAGGACCACCTTTTATTTCTGTGGTGCTCTAAGTAAATACCTCTAACCAGCAATAAAGATCCCCTCTTCCCTTATTACTGGAATGATGGCCTTCCTTAGACAGTACCCTTAATAACAAACTTAGCTGATACTCTTGTTCTCTTTTAGTGATTTTAGGGCAGCTAATATTTTGAGACCAAATTAAAGCATGTAAGGCAAGAATCCTTTTTATCTTTTGCATACGGTATGGTACAGAAAAACTGAAAAATAACACAAGGCTGTAGCTTTAGTCTACACAGTGCAGAAAGATCAAAAATAATTTCAAGCAGATTTCTCTTATTACAAAGCAATAAATTATTTCTCCCTGAAAATTTATGTACATCCACATTGGACTACTTTTCCCTTCATACATCTTCTTCAATGAATAATGTTTCTTTGTCTGCATCCACAGGGACTTACTGTTTTATGGTTGAGAAAATACGTGTACTCCCTGTGTTCTCTACTTAAGGGAGTACTCTACTCTGCCTACACTGGATTTTAACAAAGGGTACGCATGGAGAAAGAAGTTAGAATTGAAAGCAATGTAAGCATGCAGCCAATCAGATACTGTAATTACTATTGTGTGCAGACTTACTTCAAGGTATTCTTTTGTAAAATAATTTGATTCAGTGGAAGAGCAGGTCAGGTATTTTTCATTATCATTGTGTAAAATCATGCCTGCAGATGCTACTAGCGATGGACAGAACATTCCTCTTTCTCATTAAGAAGTTCCTATTGCTCATGCTACCCAAGACATCGGTAAAAGGCTTAAGCAAAAGAACACTGATTCCTTGATCATCTGCCAGTTTTATTCTATCTGCTAAAAAGATACATCCAAATAAGGAAAATTTCTGACAAGCCATAGTTTATTTAGTCTGGAAGAGTTTCTCCAGGATTTGCCATCCTGTTTGGACTTCCTCCAAAATTCTGTTGGTATATTCAGAGTACATCTCTTTATTAGTTCTATTACAAGCACTGGTATCTCCAATACATACACACACTTAACCACACTCATGCCTTTGCAGGGCAAGCTTGAGAGTTTATACATTGTCTGCTCAGAGAACTATTCAAAAAGAGAGGAATATTCAGTATAGAGAAAAAAAAAAAAGAAAAATGGGCAAGCCAAGGTAATAAAAAGCAAGTAAATGCAGAGGGTATAATCTAATAATTTATTTTTTTAAAAATACATTTTAATTTTCTTGACAAATTCTGGATGAAAGGACCACTCAACAAATAAGTGAACTGTGAAACAAGACTTGGTATAGAATGAAATACTGGAAGATACAACTACATAACATAAGGCCAGCTGATTTGCAGATGTGCTAGGGCTCAAAAACAGCTGGGTCCAAGGAAAGCTAAGTTAGCCTACAGTTCTCCTCTGTAAGACTTTCTGAACACATCTCCAAATAGAGGCATGCTGTTTATAAACGTACACCTGATATATTTATCCAGTTACATAATATGTTATCAAGTTACTGAAACATGGCACCAGTGATGTCAGCGCTTCAAAAATTACACATTTTTTCACATATCTTAGGAAGATGCAGAAACACAAATCTCTTAAGGCTGTCATATCATCACCTTCACCCAAAACTCTCTGTAGGAAGACTTTGTAAAAGCAGCTGCTTAGCAGACTGAAAACTGTGCTGTGTGGTGTCATCAAATGGCTTAAATTCCTCATCAGCTTAATAACATCTGGGCTACTTAAGCTAAGCAAAAGCCCATAAGCTGTTTGCAAGTCAAACAGCAGAGGATAACACTGAATGCAAGAAGCAGGGCAGAGGTGGCTACACAGACTGCACTGCAAAGGAAATAAAACTTTCCACAAGTTTTACATAATACCTCAGTCACAAGACAAGCAGCCACCAAAGGACAGAAACTAATATCACGTGAAATGAACTCTTCAATACCTTGTGAGTCTCCTTTGAGTTTAAGCAGGTAATTGTGCTCTCTTGTTTTGCACAACATCTACCCCAGTAGATCGTGCTACTGAAACTAAATGTACTTGAAAAACCTGACCTAAAAGACAGTACTTGCAAACATGATCCCTTCTGTTCTTAAACACCAAAGAAAAGACATGATGTTAGTTTTCCAGAATTATACCAAGAAAAGCAGGAATTGAATGTCAGCCATGTCACTTCTAGAAACTTAGTTGTTCTGTTCTCAGTCCTACTGAAAAGTGGTAAACATGCTAAGAGCTACTTTTCACAGAAAAGAGTATTTGTGTGAAACACTACTCAATTTTCTGTTTCACATCAAAGTTGAACTTACCATCTGGGTCTTTAAAAGTCAACGTGATAAATTTGCTAGCAACCATGAACATGAATATCACCCAAAAGCATGCAGCTAGCAGCAGCCACTGGTGGTGCATGTTGTCAGGCATGAGCCATATAAAGTTGATGCTTCCTGTTTGAAAGAGGAAAGATTGACACATTAATTATTTTTGTCCCAGTTTAGAAAAATACTTTCCATAACCAAAATGCAAAAACTCTAATGTGCATGTGTGTCATAAAACATAGCAGTAGATTTCACTTTTTACTTTTTGCCTATTCAGCTGAGTTTTCAACTAGTGTTAAGGCTGAGGCAATGTAACCACCAGCTGCTATCAAAGGGAGGCTTCGCTCCTCCTTCACCCCTACATACACATTCCCAGCTCCCTCCTTGTGCTGGCAATAGCACTGTCTGTCTCTCTGGGGAGACAGATCAGCAAAACCCCTGATTTTTTTACAGTATAGTTTATTTTTCAGTTTAAGTAAGCAAGACAGGTCATTGTAGGAAAGGCAGGGAGAATGAAGAAAGCTGCGCTCTCAGTGCTAGATGTAACATTAACACCGTACTTGGTTATCCCAAGTCACCTCAGGACATATAACACTAAGCACCATCCATGCAAATAATAAAAAGGGTTTCCTTGCAGCAGTGCCTCCTACCTGTAGCTGCATCCCTGCAGGTAAGCCTCACAGACAGGACTTCCCCAGTACAGCAGGAAGAGTTACCCAAACGATTGAGACTGCAGATTTAATGTGCAAAGAAACCACCCACAGGAACTGACAGAATCCAAGCAGAGTGAAGATGAGGATACTGCACAGTATTATGAATGCAGCATCTACCCTGCCTCGCAGCTTTAAAGTCTGCTGTACTGCTCTAAGCACTTCTATCCTGATTTTTCAAACTGTAACTCTAATAAATTATTTTTTTATTATTAGAAGTTAAGATTAAATATAAGGAAACCCATGACAAAAAAAGTCCCCAGCCATTAAGAGAAATGTATCATTTTAAGCTACATCTTTCACTGAATTTCCAGCTTCTGATGGGCAATACACACAGAGGCTGCCACCGAGTATCTGTGAAAGCTCCACTGCAAAAAAAACTCCAACAACCCACAACAAAAACCTAACAGCAAACATCATCACTTACATACCAAAATCTGAGACTTCTCAGGTTTGAATATTTATCCTGCAAAAATACAGCACCATTGTCTCTACTGTTGCTGGAGAGACAGACACCTGAGGGCCTGAACTCGGGTGCTGGAAAGTTAAAATGTAAGTGAATGCTTCCTTTTGAGGACACATGCAACACAACGTCAAAACACTTAACCAAAGGGGATCTAATACAAAAAATCTCATACAATGACATCCTCACAACAATCCTGTGAGATTTGTGTTTGTAGCCTCAGGAAGAACAAAAATCCAAAATCACGCGTGCAACTATCAATAGGATCAAACTCACTCCTAAAGTAGCCACATGCAATTTCAAAGAGAGTCACGTCTGCATGGTTTGTGATCACAATTTCTATACAGCCATTTGAGTGAATTACCAGGGAATAAGCCATATGCCCTCATTCCCATTTAAGATGCTAAAAATGTGCTGATTAATACTTCTAAGGAAATTTATATTGAGTTTTTCAGTCATATACCAGTATTCCACCTTCTTTGTTCCCATAAAGCTTCAATAACAGAAGTAAGCCTGGTTTTGACGTTGTTTCAGCATGTCCATCTGCAACATCAGTACTACTGCTACAGGTGCCAATCACTTTTCCAACTAGCTTTTGCCTTCCAGCAATGCAAATGTTTCCAGGAAGAGTTCTCACTGTAGCAGACAGAAGTGAAATGTCTTCAGGGTATGTTGAAAGCCTGTGCAGGCAGACAAGCAGATCAAAACAGATTTAGGACCAGAAGGATGTATGCAAAATGGGTAAGAAGAGGAAAAGAACATAATATCACAAATAAAAAAAAAAATCATAATTTTTAGCAAGGATGGCAGTGCTCAGGCCTAATTTTATTTTCTCAGCTTGGTTTTTGAAAGATCCTTTTTTTCCTCCTCTTTTATGGTTTCATTCTCCTATAAGCACCACACTTAGGTAAAAAGATGCATCAACTGTCTTAAAAAGATGCATCAACTGTCTTTTGGACAATTACAGGTGCTGTGACTTCCATGAAGACGTTTGTCATCGCCTGTTTTCTGATGCAATTCCCCAACCGCCAGTTGAGTGTGCATGAATTCCAGAGGACTGACCTGTTTCCAGCTAAGTAGTTCAAAAGTTATTCTCTATCTACCATTGCACTTGTACAAAACTTGCCCTAAGATTCATGCTGACAACCACTAGGTCTCAAAGGTCCTCATTTTTCAGTCTGCCATGACATCCACCATCTCCCACTTTAAGCACTGATATTTATCTTTCAGATGTAATGATCATTTGAAAAATTTTCTAACTGTCACAGATGAGGGAAATTTAGATCAGATATCAAGACACAAAAATGTAGTAATGACATTTTTGCTTTTTAGGTAGCTCTGCTAAGCCATGAGAACCATTCAACACTCAAAAAACAACGGAACCTCAGTTCAAGGCAGCAGACTGACAGAAGCTTTAAGAGGACACTCTGCAGGAGGAAATTTCTTTCTAACCATCAGCTATGGGCTTTTCAGACATATAATGAAAGGTCTGGGCCAGACCTTTCTATCCAACTCAGTATATTTGTTCTGCATTAAGAAGGGTAGAAACAGCCTCCAACATTCATAGCATCCCTGCTAGTCTGCCCACTTTTATAATGGTGATGGATGCATACCATTCAGTAAGGCCTATTGATCTATATCCCCTTATTTAATTTACGTATTGGATTTCTAAGAAATTGCGTTAAATGACATGGGAAAAGCAATTAGCATACACAGGACTGTGCTGCCAGGTCCTGTGCTGTAGGGATAGAACATTTCAGCCAAAATCACCCAGAAGCATCTCCGGACTCAAGAGAGCAGAAAGGGAGTAGAACTGCAGTCACATCCATAACCACCACCACTATTACCCTTCAATATGTTCATGCTGAGAGGAAAATGTAAAGCAGCTTTGTCTGCTTTTATTTTATGCACACAGCAACTCTGCAACCATACTTATCAAAGTAATAGTCTTGTCAGAGGATCTCTCATAATGTAACTACAATGCCTGGCACTGTTACTCACTTCCAGCATCCTACACTACATCTGTATCAGCAGCTTATCACCGATCTCAAGAAGCAGGACTATTCAAAATTATATATAGGAGTACCTCAACCATTACACTCACTTAAATGCAATGATCAGTATTTTTTTTTTAAATAATGTGTTTATGTCTCACTTTCTCTACCTTCTTTAATATTTTTATTGTTTTCACATATGGTAATTGCACTTCCTGCTTTATTCTGATATTACTGTATTTCTGTCGCCTCTCCTGTTACTTATTTTCTAGTGAATACATGTACAAGCTACTGTTTTTTCTCTATAATAGTTTCCTTCTGCTTCCAAAAGTGTCTGTTACTTCTTGTTGTCTAAAACATTTTTTTCTTTACAAGTAGAAGAAGCAAAAAATATGTTGAAGGTGTAGTCCATTTGCTCACAATGAAATACACAGTGAGTTTTCCAGTTACTCCTTCTCCTGCTTATTACAATTCTACACTTTTTAGGAGCACAAGATCCCCAAAACTCCTCTCTCCATCCATTCCTCTGTCCTTCCCTCTCAGGGCTACTTAGCACAAACTGTCACATAACCGGTTAGCCAGATGCCAGTTTTGCAAGAGAAAAAAATGGGACCGCAAACACAAACAAGAACCAAAGATCAAGACACAGAGTTGCAGGCTTGACCCATGGCTCACGAGTAACCTGCTACCTCAAATAAACACTCATACTTTGCCAAAGACTGCTGTCTTCATGGGAATGATGGGATAAAGTGCAGAACATTTAACATTAAAACTCGGTGCACGGTCTCTGCTCTGCAGCTTGTGCTGCTTGGACTGGGGCTCCTTGGCAGGACAGTGCCTGGGGGAATCATGACTGGCAGCAGCATGCCAGTAGTCCCAAACTCCCAACTCTTTGCCCATCTGCACGTGATTAATGATGTCATTTCAACTGAACTGGTAATAAAGGCCAAACAACAGCTAGCTGGGATAACTAATCCATTTTCATCAATGTCTCCTATGTGTTATCTTAGAGGTGAGAGATCTGGCCAATTTATTACACTTTAAAAAAATCTTAGATCAAAATCTGTCACACAGGCTCCTTTGGCAAGTTGTGTGGTGCAACTAAACAATGTTACATTATACCAGGCCTTTCTGAAACTGGTAATTTCCTAAGGTTTTTCTCCTCCCGACGGCACGAACAGGCCCGTGGCTCTGCTCTTCCAGCTCCTGCTGGAGAGGGGAGCTCTCCCTGCGCACGCACAGGTCACCTGTCAGCGGGATGGGAACCAACTGTGGGAGCAGCAGCGCCTGCACCGCTGCGTGACCCACCTCGGTCCGGGGCAGGCTCGGGAATGGGACCCTCCTCCACCCCAGCACGCCGTGCCCTGTCTGACAGACACCAGCTCCCACTCCAGCGGGCACCCCACGCTCTTCACAGCCGGGAACGGCAGCAGCTCCTCTTTCCCCAGCGTCGGGGCTTCCTGGGGGCTCCGCTCATTCCGTAAACACAAGGGGGTCCCCCCCAGGAAGCCGGGACACGGCCGTGATCTTACAGGCAGGGGACGAAACGAGGCAATGCCCACCCCCAGCCCCGGCTCCGGGCGCAAGGACCTGGGCTGAAGAGGCGTGAACTTTTCCCGTTCCGGAGGAGGAAGCAAGGCGGGCTTCTCCTCATCCCCGGTAGGGATGGATAAGCCATGCCCGCAGCGCCCGCCGCCTTCCTCGCCCGATCCGGGGTGCTGGAGGAGCCTTTCCCAGGGACTGCCGGCCGCCAGGCCTCCCCCGCCCGGGCCCCTGCCCGGCCCTCCCCGGCTTACCGGCCCTCCAGCGCCGCTCCCCGCAGCGCCGGGGTCCCGCCTCACTCGGCGGCACGGCCGGCCCGCTCGGGCGGCCCCGGCTGCCGACACATCCCCCCCGCCCGGCTGCGGGCGGCGGCGGCGCCTCCCCGGGCCCGCTCAGCCCCTGCTGCCGCCGCCCGGCCCTGCCACCACTGCCTTCATTTCCTCCCGAGGCCGCGGGCAGGCCCCAGCCCCGCCGCCGGGAAGGGGAGGAAGATGAAGGCCGCCACAGGAACGGCGCGGCTCGGCTGCGAGAAGACGCAGCGCCGCACCCGGCCGCCCAGAGGCGGGAGGGGGAGGGATGGAGGACGGGCTGGGCGGCTCTGCCCTTCCCTCCCTTGCCCTCCCGTCCCCGCCTCGTCTCGGCCTGGGGGGAGCGGGGCGTGCGAGCCCGACTCGCGTAAATACACGTGTATACGTGTGCTTGGTTTGGTTTGGTTTTTTATTTACTGTTCAAAAAACCTTTAATAGGTCCCTAACGCTCGTGTTTAAAAAAAAAACAACAAACAAACAACAACAACAACAACAAAAACCACAAAAAAACCCCAACCAAACAAAAAAACCCCAAACCACACAACCCCCCCCAACAACAACAACAACAAACCTGAAAATGACAGAATCACAGAATCATTTTTATTGGAAAAGACCTTTAATACCCCTCGTCCCGGCATGGCAGACGCAAGGCGAGTTTAGGCTCCAGGAGGAGAGGAAAGGTGCCGTAAAACATGGGAAGAACAGCAGTAGTGTGAAGGCAGGTGTCTGAGCTCTGCTGTACAGCCCAAAGCCCTGCCCGGGCTCCTTTCCCCCCAAAGACACGATGTAGTAGTGCACGCACAGTTGCTGCACACAGCACTCTGATCACTGGACCAGAGAGATGCTCACCTGCAGGACTCTGATACCCGTAAATCCCATGAAAACCGAGTGCTGGTGATGAGTCTCTTTTTAACAACTATTTAAACAAGTCCTCTTGGGCACGTTTTGCAGTCTTACAGTGCACTCTTCCCTTTTAGAGGAGGATTTAGAGCCTCTGATCCATGCATTTTCAGACTTGACTACCATGCTGCACTGTGCTAAAGCCCAACCAAGTCCAAGGATGATGTCGTTGGTATGGATGCCACAGCCAACCTATGGAGCAGAACAGGCTAATGCAAATGTCTTAGCAGCCATGTGTTCAGTGCTATGTTGACGGCTGCTAGCCCTCAGTGAGGCAGCAAAAAGAATAGCTTTCACTGGGAACCAATGGCCAAAAGCCAGTAATCAGAAAACCAATTCTCTACCTGACTGTTTGTTTGTAACAGCATCTTGAGACACCACATTCTTGTGCCTCCCTTCCTCTACCTGTGAAGTAGAAATTGTGATAAGTGACAGTTACTTTGTTGGCAAAGCATGTTGGAAATCTGTGGCAGTCACCAGTTTGAGTCTTGAACAGGTTAGAAAGTTGCTCCTTTCTTCAGGCTTCAAAGCGATGACTACAACCGCAGCCATGCAGATTTATTAATAAACTGTCTCCAGCTGTGGAACTAATTCCTGCCAGATTATCAGGCTCAGCTCAAGAATTTTAACCTTTCAAGTATGTTGTTACTGACATGTGTAATAATTAATCCAGTACAAAAGAAACCAATTTTCCAAACTAAGCACAGTTAATAAGCTTTGTTGTCAGTAATTGGGCCTGAAAGTGTCTGATGAAGTTGAAGAATGTGTTGCATAGGCAACTGTACTGTTGGATTATGCAGTTGCTAGTACAGGCCAACAGGATTCTTGCTACTAATAATGTTAAACTGTTAGGTTTAGTACTTTAAATAGGCAGCAAAATCAACAGTTGAGTGTGAGTTCTTTTTAATACTAGAGAACTTTTACATTGTCAGAGCAATGCAAAGGATAGTTGAGTTGGTGAAAAGTCACCCTTCCCCTCTCTGGGACATTCTAGAGTGACTTCTTGAGAGATATGCCTCTGTAGCCGATGGAAGTGATGCATCCATTTTTTCTTTAAGAACATGGGCCTAAACCTAAAAAATTCATCTTAATAACATGTTCAGTGTTTATGCCATTAGAAAAAGATTTGTATGTCCTAATTAAATATGTCTTGTATATCTTCATTCCAGGTTTGATGTTTCTCCTGGAAGAGTCTTACTTGCAAGAGATTAACATTTGCAACTTGGCCAGTCAGGGAGGACTGAGGTGGTACTGGACATCTGAGCTGCAGGAACACATTCAAGCATTATAAGAAGTTATCTGTCAGTGGCAGGCTGTCTTGACTGCTCTTGGTATGAGTTAATTCCAAATAGCATTTAAGCATAGCAAAAATGTTTAAATGAGCCCCTGTCGTGGACAAGATAAGTAATCATACTGCAGTTTGCATTTGAACACTCCAGCCTAATCGCACTGAAAGAATCCTCATTTTCCTTGACCTTCCAAGCTTATCCTATTCAGCAGAAGCCTAGGCTTGCCAGTACTGTTCAACTTACACTATGTTTATTTTTCACCCTTTGGTGTTATTTCAGGTTTTAATCCCATGCCAATTACTAGGATTAGTCTTGGTAGCCCTTTTAGTCATGCTTTGTTTCCTTAAGAGCTGACCTTAAGACAAGTCACTTGGTTCTGCATCAAGTACTCAGGAAGAACAAATCTTATTTAAATCAGCAGGAAGACATGCTTTTCCTAGTGCAGAGCCATTATTAGTGAATTCATCAATCTGCTTCATGACTGTATTTCTGAGGCATAACTGATCACTAAAGGAGATCTCTTGTGTACAAGTGTCTTGCTTTGCAGCTGGTCAGACATGGCACCTTTGGTATGTAATACATTTATTAAGATGTGATAGTCACTAGCAGATTCTTTTTCTGGAACATAAGGGAGCTTATTTAAATGTGGCTCTGGTTGATACAAATTAGAACATATAGAATACCTTGTGGCCTCTATAGTCACTAAGAAACACATCAGAAATAAAAAAAAAAATCAGGCCAAGGAATACAAGAATATACAGCCTCATACAGATGTAGGATTTTCTAGTATGGCCTAAATATAATACATAAAGTAGTATGTATTTCCTGGATTATTTTTATATAAAGCAATTTCAACTAGCAATGACCTATAAAGTGCATGTCAAACAGAGCTGGTGCATAGAAATGACTGAGGTGTGTGGAGAGAGTGGGGGGCCTTAGGGCTGATATCTGTAGTAAAATCATACTGGCTACAGTAGTGGCAAGATTAGATCCATAAGCAGCAAATTAGATGTGTTCATTTGAAGACTAAGTTCACTTCTTATTTCAGGGTAGAAACAAATTTTACCCCATGATAAGTGCCTTGGAATTGTTAAATCTTTTCATATCGTTACACCATTTGTTGCCCTTTGAGAAGGACACAAAAAGTATAGACTGAGGTAAGTAGGTCATTAGCTGAACCATCTAATTTATCTTGCATTCATCAGACACTATCTCTGAGCTGATAGTTTGAAAAGCAAAAACAGCTTTGCGGCGTTTGTTAATAGCAATGAACCAAACGTGCTGCTAGGACTGGGCTAGAGGAGCTAAGAACTACATTTAATTATCAAATCAATGTCAATTAAAATTGAACTCAATGATTCAAAATTAATTATATAGGTCACAAAATGAGTGCAGCCAAAAAGCAAATTATCATGTCAATGTATCGAGGTAAGTCAATTCTTTAAATAAAAATCAGAAATAACAATAGAGTTTTAAGTCCCAGTTATGGGTGTTTTCCAAAGTAGACAAATTAAGAAAATTGACTTAAGCAATTAGTGTTCAAAACAAGTTACTATACTTCAAAGTAACCTGCTACCCTCTTTTAACCCTCTCCTTTCCTCATGGCCTGAATCAGACAGCTGGATTTACCAATTTTCATTTCTCTCTATAGCTGGCAGAGTCAAACTGGCAAGCAGCTGAGTCTTAAGTTCACCTGCTGCATTCACCAGGGTACAATTTCCAGGTGACAAAGTTGCTGTGATACTGCAGGTACAGTGCTCAGTGTTGCATCTGTGACTTAGACTCCAATGAGGCCAAGCTGCATGTACTCATGCACTGTTCTGGGCCTCAACAGGAGTTGCAAGATTGGCATTGCACAGACAGAGAGTGCCAGAACTGCTCTGGGCACAGATAAAGAAGCAAACCAGGTTTTTAAGTTTTTTGGGTTTTTTTTTTGTCATTGTTTCTCAAAAGAGAGTATTGGGTGGAGACAGCAGTGCTACTCTAAGCCAATACTTTTCTTTGCCAGTGTTTGAGATCACATTCTCAAATGTTGAAAAAACACATGAGGACAACATGGTAAGACGCAACTCCTGACTGACCTGATACCAGTGGTGCTACATTATCAAGAGTTGGGAGAGCTGTTGTCTTCTGTTTGATTATCACCGCCTTAGAAAACTGACCAGTTTTGGGGTAAGCAGAAATACCTGAAGGAAGCTGAGGGGTGACTTGGGTCATGGGAGTGTAAGGATAAAAAAAAGAGGTGGAGGCAGGTACAGAACCCGGGTCCCATTTGCTAATGAATACAGGTAGGATCAGAGTATTTCACATTAAGTGGAACAGCTTTCACAGGGATATTGAGTGCTTAAAATAATTTATAACTTGCTGGTTGGAGCTGGCTCTTAGGAGATGGCAGTTGTGGTATCTATCAGGAGAAATTTGAACATTTGTTTCCCATATACCAGTAGCTCCATAATTAACTAGGAACAGTACCACTCTCGTGAAGGCAAGAAAAAAATGTTTGTGCTACAGCTACTAGGAGATGCAAGTCTAGAAGGGTTATCCTAAAATGACAGGCACTGCTCTACAATCCAAACTGAGCAAGGCAAGTCAGAGAGGGCTGGGACTTCATAGCTCTTGGCATGTCCTCCTGGCCAAGGCAGTGCAAAGGCAGACTGTGCTCTGGCATCAGGGAGTCACTCCCCAGGGAGGGCACATGTCCTCCTCCACGGTGCAGCCTCTGTGCCATGCTCCAGACTATGGTCCTCTGGGAGCATGCTCCTCAACCAAGAATAATTTTGGAGCTATTTATGTCTGACTGTTTTCAGTGGAAATTAAGGGTCTATCATTTTACAGAATCTGGAGCTTAGTCCATAGTTTCCT